TCACTGCAACCTTATACGCTGCTGCGAAGTTATATTGAAGGGGAAAAGTTCTCATCCATCTCGTACAATGGTCAGAGTTATCATAATCATAATATACGATATAAATAATTTTATATAGGTATTTGCATTCTATATTTTTAAATTATGTTAAGTGTAAATGTGTAATAGGTAAATTATAATAATAATAATAATATTAAATGTATTAACAAATGGCGAATGCGCGACAATAATGAAACGCACTGCAAAAAAGATTGCAGTGTCTCTTAAACGATCAATCGAGAAACCAGCAGTTTTTGAAAAAATACATTTCTCGACAATCTACAAAAAATCGATCATAATAATATATAGGCGGTATAGCCTATACCTACTATTAATTATTATGACAATAATTACGAAAACCTTCACTATATGTATACGATGCACCGCCCTCTGTGTTACACATTATATAATAATATATTATACTGCTGCAGGTACGTAGGTACTATTATATTATAATAATAATATAATATTTACACGTCTGCGGATGTCGATTCGACGCCGTTCATCCGAAACGAGACGGCTACGCGACTCCGTCCGTCTTGATCGAAGTCCACTGTTTCGGTCTCCTCCCGGGGCACGGCATGGTACACTGAAACATTCGCACGATTTAAACGGTATGGAATATGAATAACCAAATAATATAAATCAACGGCAGTGGCGTGTTAAAGGTATTATTTTGGAGCAATTGCTCCTTCAAAATTGTTGGTTGGTGGGGTATCCCCCTGCCACAAAATACCTAGCCACCTATAGGTAGTAGAAATATCATATCCAATCGTACAAATCGTTACAAATGTACGCATATTTTGTAAATTTTTAATTTAAACTTTTTTTGCTGAGTTTTTACTGAGGTTACCTTACATACATTTTTGCTCCTCACCAAAAATGAGTTCAACACGCCACTGATCAACGGGACGACACACTAATATTATAATATTGGTTATGAATACTTGCCATACGTCCTACCTATTTATATACAAATATTGAAATATTGTATACCGCAGGAGCACATGCTAGCTAGGGGGGCGCGTCAGCAATCTTGCAGGTTTGGATTCTGAACTTTTATTCAAACATTTTGTTTATTAACTAGGTAGGTATTTAAAAACATTTAAGTTGGTATTTATACGATAGATTCGCGTCATCAAAACCTTAAGCTTGCATTGTAAGTTAATGAGAGCTGGTATCTTCCTAACAGTTGTTGACAATTTTTATATCTATTTGCAATACGCAAGTCTCAATGTCTTATTTGTCCGTTTTATTAAGTAAAAATAATTTTAAAAAAATCGGATAAGTGGATATCGCTCTGCTGTACAGTAAGTTACGAGCGGGTCATTGTAATGGTTGATGTTAAATTTTAATTCAATGATAAATATCATATTGTATACGAAAAACGAGCGGAGACTGTTTGTCAGACTAGGATATTTTATATTGTTATTAGTAATTCGGTAGCCAGTAAGTTGAATTAATATTATTCGAATATTTTTATGTTTGTGTACAGTAATAGGTACACTTTAGAAGTTTCAAGTATCCACGAATAACATTTTCAAATTACAATAAATAACTAAAATCGTCATCCTTGGTTATTTAATATGTAATATCGTCCTAATTTGAACTTCAAATAACTACCTAGGTATACAAAAAACTGTATTTATATATTTTTTATATTTTTGGTTACAGAATGAACTTCTTAAGTGGAACCTTGTTTTTATATTTTTTAATCCTTAGCTATAAAAATTGAACATTTTATAAATTTTTAACTGCAAAATAATTTGTAAATAATTAATGTGATACATTTTGTCAGAATTTGAACTTTTAATGAATATAAAAAAAATTAAGCCTATGTATTTTTAATATTTTGAAACTGATATTGTAACATTTCAAGAGCCTAAATTCAATTTTCAAGCTTTTTGACCCAACAGATACAATTTTATTGATATTTAAAAAAAAAAAAGTAAAAACAGCTCAATACAAGTCAAAATGATATCAAGTATGGAAAATGATACTTATTTAAATACACGATTCAATTAGGTATTTTTAAAATAAACATATTATGATGTAAAATTCAAGTATTTTCGGTTATTCGTTTTTGAATTACAACTAAAATAAGAAAATCACTCAATGAGAAATCGAGTGAATCAATTTGAACTTCAAACGCTCATAATAATGTAATTTGACTTGCCGGTCGACATTTTTTTTTTTTCGATAAAAGTAGACAAACTTATGAGTTAAATAGGTATTGTATTAAGTTATCAAATCTTAAACATGAAAACATTATTTTGTGAATTTCTAACTCTAAATAATTTGTAAGTTTCGTGATTTTTTCGAATTTTATCAAAATTCTAACTTCAGACTTATAAATAACATTGTGAATTTACACTCAACTTTTTTTAATTCCAACAACTTACTTCCCTTTGAAATATATACTAAAGTTGAAAATCCAAGCATTTTATCGACTACTTATTGTGCACATAAAAAAAACACATCAATCCATTCATTGCTCCACTCAGAATCTAAAATTTTATAATCCCTATTACTTGACACTATAGAAATAGTCTATCTATACTCCAGCGTGTATCGTAGGTTAGGCACCTATATACTGGCGTGATCGATTTAGACACTCATTAATTCAAAAAATATTTATAATAAGTACATAATATTATTTTAAGCAGGTACAAAACAAGATTTATAGAAACGAATATTTTTTACTATTATTACCTATACTGTCGGAATTTTTTTTTAAGTTTTTCACTCTTTTGAAGGATAAAATATACAATATACATTTTTTTATTTCATATTCCCAAGCAGATTATTATTTGGAGTATTTCCATCAATAAAAATAAAGTATCGAACAAGTTGTGTGTTATCCAGTTATAAGAATTTAAAGTTTATATATATGAACGGAGTACTAGTGAACCAACATTTTGAGAGGTATAGAGGTATACCTACCCCTCTATCACTCCACTTCACTCATCTATACTTGAAATACTTATTATAACAACTCATAAACTACTTGTTAAAAATTTGAGATTTCTATAACAAAGTACTCCAAAAAATATTATGATTTAGAATAAGGAATACAAAATGCACGATATCATTAAAAAAATAAATATGAATTAATAATTAACAATAATAAATAGGTAGTTAATAAAAATATTGTTTTAGAAAATTAATGTCTTTTTTAACGACTTAAAATCGTGTAAAAATATAGTTTCAAAAACGTTCACAGTTTTCGATTTTTCGAAATTATGAGTGCCTATCCTACATAAATGGATGGCCCGGTATATTATGTGTAGATACATCGAATTTCGATCAAGGATGATACTAAAAGTTCTATAGTAATAGGTAGATAAATATATTAACTAGCCATTTTTAAGATATTTTTTTTATGAAACTTAAGAGGATAATAATTTGTCTTCTTCTGTCTGCATAGCAGTTCATGGTGGACATATTGAACAATATTATAAGACAAGTAAAAAATATTGCATCTAATTTCAACTAGTATTATGTATTTATTACCTATTGGATTATAATTAATTTTTTAAATGGTTTTTAAAAAAACAAGTGTGAAAATTATACAGTTTTACAATATTATGCTGTATTTTGGTAAATAAAAGTTGCTTTCATTTATTTAAAATTCAACAGATAGTTTAATCTATAATCTAAATTCTAAATATCGGTTCTATGTGAGATTGCCAATCTGCGTCGTATGGAAAACAACACTTAAGTCATAAGATGGCACTCACAAATGCGTTAAGGTAATATATTATAGGGATTAGGGAACCTATCTAAAACGATTGAAGATTAAAAATATGTACCTAGTCAATTAATTATCTGGAAACCGAGCAAAAAAATATGAATTAACATACTGTCTAAAATTCTAAATGCTAAAATTTAAAATCGATCACACGCATATTAATGGTCAATAAAACAACCTTGTGGGGATACTATTTATCATTTTTGTTTGAAGGTTCTTAATACCTACTTACCTAGATTTAGAATAAAAACTTCCTATAGTGACTTTAAGTAAAGAAAGTATATTGATATTTGTATAGAGCATACATATTTGGATAATTCAGTTTTTTTATGAACACCTAATTGATTTCATAATAACAAGCAATAACTAATAATCAATTAGTTACTTACCTTACATAAAAATAGTTTTATCATAAAAATACTATAGATTTATTATTTATTGATATGATTTACATGTAAATAACAATAATACATGTTCATATTTAGTTTAAAATTAAAATCATCTATACAAATAAATATACACCAAAATATGTATTTATCAAGTAACCAGTAGTGTTAGAAATTATTATTTAATTTATTTATTAACAAAAATAGAAAATTCAAAGGAAATTAATGTAACATAATTATTAGTCGCTTATGAAAAACGTCAATCATATACAATAGTTTGATTTCATTACATGAACCACACAATTATTGTTTACACTGTTATTAATTATTACTTTACATTTTTACAATAACTTTTAGAGCACTTTTGAATGAAATTAAAGTGAGTATAATTTATAATATTGAAAGCTGGATTTAGAACTATTTGGGATACTAAAATAAAAATAAACAAGTCATATTATTTGTCTACGTTTTATTTAATTTTCTAGAATTGATACACTGGCTTCGGTCATATTTCATTATATGGGGTCTATATTTCTAATCAAATACTAAACAAACACTACAATCTAACTACTATAACACAGTAATCGTACTATCTATTATCTACCTTAATTTTAATGTTGTAACCTAGAACAACATTTTTAACACCCATTAGTAAGGGCGACGAATAACATCAGCTATCGTAAAATGTTGAAACATACTAAGCCATTAAGTAATATGAAAATATTTAGCATGCTTTAAGTATATAAAATAAGATATTTTCTTCAATACATATTTAGTCAATAAATTCGTCGTGATGCATAAAAAAAAATTTCAGTCCATGCCATTTAAACTGAAATGAAAAACATAAAATAAACAATAATAATAATAATAATAATAATAATAATGTAAATCAATTTATTAACAATATTCTTATATAGTTATCTGTTTTTAGAGAAATCCATAGCTCAAAATATTTTTATTTTTAATTTATTTTACAAAATAAAATTACAATGTAAACTTACTTCATCTAACTCTCTAAGTGTAAAATTAGGTTATATAATAATATTTTAGATAATTGACAAAATTAAAAATACGATTTTATTACCTATATTGTCTATATATAATATAATAAATTATAATGAATACCAACTCACTTAAAATAAACAATTTTAGTCATTATTTTAAAAATAGCATTTGTTTGTACCTATTATTGATAACACAGTATCTTTTTACTATAATTAATTAGACATGGGATATAAATTTTAAAAATTGTTAAGGCTATTGAGTGGTATTGTTGAAAAAAAATTTAAAAGTTATAGTTGAGTCAAACTTAGAGTAAGTGTAACATATGCCGCCCGTTGCAGCAAAGTAGGTCATATCTCTGTTTTCACAATTTTTTTTTTCAAGTTATCATAACTGTTTTTGTGAAGTTCCCGTGAAGACGGTAGTAACTGCATTTAATTGTATAGAACTTTTTTGATTGTTTTATGCTTACCAGTTTCGCGGGAACTACACAAAAACAGTTATGACAACTTGAAAAAAAAAATTTGTGAATATACGACCTTCTTTGCTTCGGCAGTCGATGTTATCAAATTAAAAATTTTTCTTTAAAAATTTGTGAGTTATTTGATAATTTTATTTCATATTTAAAAATATTAAGTTATATTATATCAATACATTTTATAACACATTAATATATTTTAGACAAGTCAATTATTTGACTGTGTATTTTAACTACAAATAATAATAAATAAATTAAAATACTGATAAAACCTATAGAAAAAAATTAAGCATTCTAATATAATTAAATATAAATACAAACACTAGTATGACAAATATCAGTTACTGATGATTTTTTTGTACGTACATTTTTGATAATTTCTGCCACAATAACAGATGAAATATTTTTTGTTCAACATAAAAAATATGATTGAAACCGCTATCAATATTACTGCAATAATTCCTAAAACAAAATCGAATAAGTTATTAATAAACTATTCAATACAGAACAATTTTTAATTTATTCATATTGACATTTCGCAAAGTTTTTATGACTAAATAAATATTGAAAGCTGGCTCTTTTCATATACCTACTGTAATTTTGTACATAGTAACAAGTAAATGGCTCAAAAGTTATAAAGTATGTATATTTTTTTTAATCCATTTGTTGATTTTATCATTCTGTCAAATATTAGAAGTCTTAACTACCTACTATTATTCTTTTGTTGAATTTGTGTGTAGGTCTTGAGTATTTTAACATAATATTATATACTATGTCTGGACGAATCACTATTTTATACTTTATATCATCCTGAATTTATACTCAATAATATTAATAAATATAATGTTATTTAACGTGTTTATTAAAGCTTTGTGTCAGTAACTAGGAAAAAATAAATAATTGTCCACTGATCAGCTATATTCAAGTTAAATTTAATTAGATAAAAAATATTTTAAAAGAAGTACTATAATAAGTATTCAATATAATAATTATAATCTGTAGTACAGCTAATTATTTTATCAGTTAAGATATATACATAAAAAAATTAAAGTTTATATTTTGGACAAATTGTTCTATACACTTTACAACTGTAAACTGATATTTTTAACATACTTTCAGTCAGTTGATTACTAAAATTATGGGAGTTTTAAAAAAAAAACATAACTAAGAGTAACACAACTAAAATATATATATTTATAAAAAACACAAACAATAACAATTTTTTTTTTTTTTTAATTAGAGTTTTAAAATGTTTTGGACTTAGATAATGAATTTTTATATTTAAAAAAAAAAGATCTTGTCTCACCAAAATATGCCAAAACATTATTTTCTTCAGGCTTATGGCATTCTTTATACCAGTCTGTAAGTAGAATTGGATTCACAACATCAATAAACTGGTCTAGATCGCATGCTATTGAATCACAACCAGGAACATGGAGCAAATAAGGATCATGAGTAGAAGTGTTTCTATATGATACCTTTAAAATATAAATAATTAAGAAATTTATATTTGGTACATAATATGAAATTTTAAATTTTGTATTGACTTACAGTAACAACAAAAGTATTATTTGAGTTTTTACTCTTCCGAAGTTCTACAAACACCGCAGCAGCATAAGGTGGTAATTTATGATTGTAAACATTTAAAGAATGTAATAAACCAGCTACATTGGTATCATGAGCTGAGTATACCCATAATTTGAAATCGGTTTGCATAGTTCCATTCCGTTTTTGTTTCATATTATCAACGATTTCATTAAGCAATACACCTGAAAAAATTTAAATTATAAACAATTAATCATTTTATATAGGTTAGGTTAAGAAACCTAATCTATATAATGTGCAAAAGGTAATTTTAACTTGAGAAAAATAATATATAATTATAATGAAAAATCAAATTATGATATTATTGTAAATCTACTAACAATTATATAATTTAGTATCATTTAAAATTATAATTTTATTGTTTTTGACTAAGTCATTATTTACTACCAAAACATAAAATAAAAATTTAAAAAATTATTTACATAATTTATTTTATCAAAGATTTATTGATAATATTATTTACTATTATTATATATTTTATTATTATGTGTTATAACTATAGGTATTGGCTTTTTTCAGATATTAACAAGGTGAATAAAATTATTATTTTAACAATATTTAAATGTATTAATTTATGCATCATGTGTTACAAATTATAAGTCATAACCATAGATCATGCAATTAGTTTATATATTAAATAATTTTAAATTTTAATTATTACTGAGTGATATACATTTAGTAGTGCTCAGGCGCAGTCCGCTTGGATGCTGAGATGTTACAGCATCCCTTGCCCTAAAATTGATTTGCCTAATATTATTTGTTATATATAGTAAAACCTCAATAACTCAAATCGGTTGTAGGCGAAAAAAATTTCCAGTTATAGTAAAAATTGTGTGTACTTATTGAAATACAGGGGCAAAGATATTCCTTCGAGTTATCCAAAATTTGACTTATAAACGTTTGAGTTATAGAGGTTTCACTGTATTTAAAGACTATACCTAATGAACAGTAGATTGTAAAAACATACAATTTTTAGTGATCTATAATATTTTACAATTTTGATTGAAAGTTTGTTGTAACTTGGTACTTATTTATGTTTTTAACCCTTTGAAGAAGGAATATTATTTTATATAGATTACTCAGAGTGAATTGCTTTCATAAATATATTGGTAATTTGCTTACAGTAAAGCCGCCATTTTACGTCTTAGATTGGTGTTAAAAATTTTTTATTAGTTAGCCAATAGATAGCAGCACATACTTCATTATCTTATACATATTTATAGTACTAACATAAATTTCTTAAGACTCTGTTAAAGATAGAAACAACGAAAATCTGAAAGACGTCTTTACTCCACGGGGCATAATAAGAAAAATTAACATCTTTATTTGTCAAAGGGTTAACGTATTTCCAATATTTAATATTTTTAGAACAAAATAAAATATATTAATATTTCATAAATAATCTACATGTTTTATATTTGCCCCAAAAACTTTTGTCATTTGCCCTTTAAATTCTGTAGCATCCTGTGCCCTTCTTCCTTCTAACCCGTGCCTGAGAGCACTCTTATTTAGCTTCTTAATAAATTAATACTATACTCCGGCCCACGAGAAAACATAACCGTTTCGCGCATATAGATTGACAGCAGTAACCGGTCAGAGGCACAATTTCACCCATTGTGCCGCGACAGTATAAGTTGTATATAAATTATATTTAGCTAATGGCCATAGTCGCCGGGCTTAAGTTCAATTAAAAAAATAAATATATTTATAAATGATAGCTTCAAGTGTTGCCGAACATAAAAAATTATTTGTATTTGCCAACCATATAAATTATATAGAAGTTCATATAACATCAGATAATTTTAGTAACAAAGAAAATATAAAATATTATACTTTAAAATTTGCTTTAAATATAGTAAGTAGTAACCAATATTAAACTATCAATAAAATAACATAACACAAATACACATTAATATCAACATAATATAAACATTGTTCATATATTTGATAAAAGAGAATTTACATAATTTATATGTAATATGTAGTATTCTAAATGTGTATCTGTATTAGATATCATATAAGAGTTTAGTATTTGAGTACATAATTAACTATTAAGCAATGTAATTTTTTTATATTATATAATTATAACTTATTATTTTTTTATTATTTTTTATTGATTGTTGAATTTACACATACCACAACTTAGTTTCTTCAATATTGGAGTATATGTTGGCAATAGAAAAGCCAATTCAGAAACTTCTCTTAATTTGTCAGGGAATACAGAATTGGTCCAATTGGGCAATGTATAGTTAAATTGTGTCTAAAAAAATTAAAATATATCATAAATAAATAAACCATTTAAATCAAATTTGCATTAAAACGTATGGCCTATAATGAGTAGTCTTTTTATAACAACCTTTTTAATATTGAATTTTTTTTAACTTTATAATTTGTATACATTAATTTAGGTAATATCATATCATTATAATGTAATGTATAAAATATAAGGGCCAAAGTCAAGCCATAATAACCTAAAAAATATGTATCAGTGATTTATTACAATTTATATATAATACATAATACAGCAGTTTTGATATATTTTGAAAAAATGTTTTCTTAAATCTCTTTTTAAAGAAAAATTATAATTGTTTTATCTTTTACTAAATTAAGCTTGGCCACTCATCTAATGTAATATATTTTTTATCAAAATTAAGTAATAGAATCTAGCTAAATTTAATTCTTATTATCTATTTTGAATACTCTTTAAAAACTAAATAATTGTTACCTCAACTAATAATAAATCATATAAAGTTAATGTGTCATCAATTAAATCAGTAAAATTCATGCCACTGTTTTCTTTAAGGTAATTATATAAAGGCTGGTGATCTTCATTAAATCGTTGGATTTCTGGTAAATTTTGAAGGTTATTAAAATCTCTTGTGAACCGAGGACAGTTACTACCAAAAGACAAAGACTGAAAAATAAAGGTATTTAATAATTAATTAATTATAATTAAAACAAAAAAAGAAACTACAATTTATATTATACAAAATGAAATATTCAAACAAAATTTACCTTATCGAGATCTCGTGGAATTGAATGAATTGGAATTGGTTGCCATAAAGTTCCTAATTTGTTGTTCCATTTTTGATCTGCAGTTGGTGCATATAAACCAGCTAGATTAACAGCAGCACTCATTAAAGCACGATCCACACTAGTACTACGAATGTATATATCTTCATTTGAATATCGAACAGGCAAAAAATCACTGTATCTATTTCTTATCCATTTTCCAAATTCGTAATGTCTTTCTTTTCCTTGCTAAAATCATAAAATGTACTTTATTACTAGTGAATACATACAAATAGGTAAAATAGATATGTTAAAATAAAAATAATACAAATTATAGTATCCAATTGTTGTAGAAATATTTACAATATTCAAGAAGTACCAACCACTTAAGGTTATTAACCCTTTTACTGCTCCAGACGTACTACTACATTCTTGTATTTTATTATATTATCATTTGCTGGTAACCGTACAATTTTAAGAAACTCTGGTTCGCATTATTTTAAACTTAAATTATTACATCATAAAGATCCCAAAATTTAGATTTAAAAAAAATTTATGTTTTATTTTACATAGCATACACAGGATGCAGTGCCTAAATAGTGTAGCAGTGAAAAGGTTAATAGTAACTTATTACCATTGTTATTTTACTTGATAAACTATATAGGGTACCTATTATATGAAAATATTAGTTAAGATAATATGTATAAATCATATTATGAAAATAGAAAGGTTTATACTAGGTATTGAATACAAAGATTAATATATACAATTTATCATTTTATAAAATAACTTCTTATATAAAAAAAACTTTAAACTTACATTAGTCAATTGTCCATAACCCATAGGCCAGTAAGATGCGTTTCTATAAGGATCTTTTGGGTAAGATACATCAGTAATTGCTCGATCACCGTGTCTATAAAGCTGAAATTAAAATTTAACATTTATCAGATAAATAAATAGGTAGCAATAATAAAACATTAAATTAAACTTATGTCATATACAATATACATGTTACACCAATGAGTATATTGTAGTATTCATGACTTGATCTATAGGAAGCCAAGGAATAATACATACTAATTATTAAGTATTTTAAACTACAGTTGAGTCCCAGTAATTCATAATACATGTGACCAGTTTTGGAATTTAAAAATAAAAATAAAAATGTACTAAATTATGTGTATAATTACATATTATTATTTTATTTTATTTTGATACATTACGTAGCTCAATTACAGAGGTACCTATTATAATCTTGTAGATACTATATATTATACAATATTATACTTACCTACATATAGATTATATAAATTACTATACCAATTTAATTGTTATTAATCATAAAAAAATTAAATAATACTATAGTAATTCTTATTATTTCAATAAATTATTTAGTTTTCTATTGTTGACAGGTATCATTTCCAAGATACCTTTTCTTGCAGTTTTCTTAGATATGTATATACCTAAATATCAGGATTGTCAGTTGAATATACTCAAGATGGATTACTGAATGTGTCATATTAACATGTTGCCAGATTACCGGATACTATTGTATATTAAAACAAAATAGGTATTTAACATTTAGACAAATGTAGGATAGAAATAATTTTATTTTTTAGATAGGTACATTTTTATGTACCTACATTTTCACTCTACAGTCATTACCATTTATTGTAATTTGTAAATAGATATATTACTAGGTAAACCATAATAAATTAAAATTCGTACCTACACACTCAATCAAACATAGTATTCCTACCTATCTACACATTAATCATTGCATAGTAAATATTATTATAATAAAATTATAAAATAGTATTGTTAATTAGGTACTACTCACCAGTGATGAAAACACTAGCTCGCCATACTCTTGGGCCAATGGATCGACGGCTAAACAGATATCGGTCGTCACAAGTGAGATGGCAGCCGTCAGCAGTAGTGTCGAACGCATCGTGTCGCGATAGGACGATACAGAAAAACTAAATACCTACGCTTATATCCGTCCTTTAGTGTGGTCTGATTTCGAATAGAGAAGTAGGTAGGTTACCTATTGCAGTGTTTATTTAATATTCATATTGTTACGACGGTGTTGTTTGTTCCACATAGGTACTCACGGCCTGCGTTAAACAAACATATCATTGTTCGATTATCGTCATTAAACAGACGACATAATTCGTCCGACTATAAGCCGTGTATGTATACATGGGTAGATATTTTTGGAAACAATAATACGGAAAGCGAAGAAAATGTATAAAAATATATAATTGTTATAAATTATGGTTTACTGGAGACTGTCTAAATATTATGTTATAACGGAACATGTTCGTAAATTCGTTCAATTTTTTTTTGTTTTCATTTCGCGTCGCTCGAGCCGCATCGACGCGATGAAGGTCGGCCGCGAATAACTCTGTTCGCAAATTAGTTTAATTTAGATACGTTAAAACACATTATTATTATTATTTATAATCGTTATCAACAACAACAACAACTATGATACCGTATACCCCGGATATAGATACTAGTATCTAGATATAGTATCTATATCCGTGTTGTATACGGCGCCACTTGCACACGACAATACCATTATCTATTATACTTAGCAGTTGTTGGCGCCACCAAACGCCGCTGGCAATATTCATTTGTGCAATGTATTTTTATTGTGCGACTGCCAATTATTATAAAAATATTATTATTACTTGTCAGGTTCTATCGTCAGAACGCCGCCGCCGACGTGCTGACGTGTCGATTATTTTAATATTAATTATTTTTTATAATATTATTATTATTGTATTCGGTGATCATATTATCGTAAAATATAATTGTAGATAGGTCATAAGTTACCTTTACATTTCAAATATGTATATGAATCACAATTATTTAAGTATAATTACTGGTTAGGTCTCTAGGCTGTAGGTTGTTAATACATAAATACAATTAATACAGACATACAGTCAATAGGTACACTTATATTTATTAATGGAAATCATAATAATATGCCATTAAAAATTTAGAATATCTATAGGTGAATATCTATAATATACTATAATTTTAACATTAACACCCACTTCCCCATGGAAAATTTGAATATCGTCCACCAGGGGACTGGAACCGAACCTAAAAGAACCGGTTCTGGTTAAAATATTGAGAACCGGAACCGGAATCGAAATAATAATAAATAAATGAAGATATTGTGATAAAAAATATTATTTTTTATATTACCGTAACATCACATCACACAAGACGCCCTTCTCCTGGAACCAATCAGTTTATACGGGTCGCTAACAACCTAGGTCCAAGAGATATTATGTGTGTTTTTACTTTTTAGAGTGCCCATATAAGTTTATGTGTAGGTATAGATTTACAATTATTTTGCTGATCTATTTGTTTTCATAATGCCGACACGGCGACACACTACTTACGCAGTTACATAGTATAGTTCATTTTGTGAATTTGTGATGTCTCTGTTTTCAGTTGTTATTATTAGTTATTGAAATATGCGAAATTGCAGTAATATATAGGTAAATACATTAAACATTGTCACAATAAATAGCACATTGATATTGCAAGTTACACACGGATTCAACACTGTAGGTACTTATAAAACAAAAAATGTTCTAAATATGAATATATACGAGTATACTTTATATGATGCTCAAATATGGTTAGGTATAATAGGTAGTAATTACCTATAAATAATAACATTTGCAACAATATAAAATATGCACAACAACTTTCAAAATGTGCAGTTTATGCATTAAAAAATATATTAGCAAAAGCATAGTGTTCTACACGACCCTGAACTCGATTGCACTGAGTAAATTGTTGGATGTTATATTTCATTTACCTGCTCAACGAGCAATAAAACCCCACAAGTGCAGTCATATGGAATACGTCCTTATTTAATGTTGTAAATTAAGAGATTATAACAACATCAATGTATGCAATGTATATTTTGCTAAACTTAAAAATCGATGGTATTTGCTTTTTTTAGTTATAGTTTTTATAATAGGTATATAAATAAGCATTTTGGTTTTACAAAAGTTATAAATATATAATATTTATTTGTTTTATATACATTTATATTAGATGCTTTTTTTTTTGGTAGCATTAAATTTGTCTTCTTCAAGTTTTTAATGTATTACTCATTAATTTTCCCTTGTTAACAAAACAAAACAGCATATTATACATAAATATTTCTACTTTTATGCTGAAATATGCTTGAAACCTTGCACACTTGAAAAAATCTGAAATGACGCCCTTGATCATATAGTATTATAAACCAAGGTAGGTATAAATAGCAGCAAAGTAATTATTTATTTTCATTAATAGCAATTACCTATATATTATACAATCAATAAAACAATAGTTTTCAAAAATTAAGAGATATTATTTTCGATTACGGTACCAAAAATACTTCAATTTAAATTCAAATAATTGTTGATTGACATAATATTAATTCTCGACTAAATTATATTATTTTATAAAGAAGAAATAGTTAATTTATTTATTAAAGTGTATAATATCATAACCATATTATATTATGCAATGAAATCAGTTTGATTCAACTCATTATTCTGCAGTCTCGATGAGAATGTACCAGAGTACCTATAGGTTATATGCAAATGCATATAGTTCCGGTCTTTTGTTATGGTTTATGGTGAATTAACATAGACCCCTCTCTCTCTCTTTCTCTCTCACTGTCACAGACTCTCCTCCACTCCCTCCACCCATAGATAAATTCTATTTTCTTTAAAAATATAAGCAAACAATTATCCACTATGAGTTTAATATTAAATATTTTTTAATTAATCCTAGCCCCTCATTCCCTTCAACCATAATATATCAGTTAATTATATTACATAATATAAGTATAATGTTCCGGGAGGGGGGGTGGAGTTGACCGGCTCACATCATGATTTTATACCTTAACTCTTAAGTTATGAATAAAACCCTCTAAAGGTCTAACTATTTTATTTTTGATTATGAAAGTACTTTATTACTTTTATTAGGTACTTTCAAAATGTTAAATGTTGACATTTATTTTCATTTTTTTGTTAATTCAATAAATATAATTCGTACATTTCCGGTTCATTTGTGTATGGTAATTTGTTGATTCCACACTAAATAAGTTTAAAAAAAAAAAAAAAAATTGATGACTAAAAGTTGAAAAGTTTTGAAAACACGTCATAAGCAAATGTGCTCTAGATTCGGTTTTGTTTAAAAAAAATGTTTATTACCCTTAACAAAAAAAAAAAAAAAAATAAAAGAGTTTTATCCCCAAAATTATGAAAGTTTTTTCATAACCTAAGGTAGGTACATATGACGACGCCGGCCGGTCACTTCCCCCGGGACACATTGCATAGGTACCAATTATAATTTAAAATATTATTGTATTTTATTTTTGTACAATTATTATTTATTACAATATATGCGATCTCGTCGATCGTTAATCATTTACCTCCATATATGCGTACGGAAAAAAATATCAAAATGTGGTACTTAATAATATAATATTTGATGACAATATACCGTTGGCTGTCGGCAGTCGTATATTGGTACTCGCTGCGGCAGTATAGCGTCACAGCTCACGGCGGCGGCGGACGAAAACGATGAGATCGGAAACGAATCTGTCACTGCGGAGACAGAGAGACGCGCCGAGACTGCAATGTATATCGCGATGCCGGGTCGGGTCGAACCGACTGACGACGACGACGACGAGTGATAAATTGTAATGAAGCTGCGCGCGTGTACCATCACCGATAGGTTATACCTACCGACGACGACGCCGCCGCGTAAAAAATAAATAAAAAAAAAACGCTCTCTGGTGCTAAAAAGGTCGTGAATGTATTATTGTAATGTGCTGATGGGTATTGGTCGGTAATTGAAGCAACTATAATGTGAATATTATACAGCTGGGTGTAGAGGACATAGGTATACCTATTTTGTTTTTCGAAATCTTAAAAAATTACCATCTATAGAGCCCCCCCCCCTTACAAAATGGAAAGTTTATAAATATATTTATAATCATTTAAAACTATATTGACATAGGTATATTAAAGTAATTTCTATAATATGTAATTACTAATTTTATTATTATGATAAACCTCCCCCCTATTAAATTTCTATCACTGTATATACAGTAAAAATATGCTTCTTACCAAAGACTATAATCTGTAATTTTGTGATGCATATTATATATTATGTGCATACTAGTTTATCTACTAGTAGTGTATTTTTAGTGTCTGATAGGTACCAAGTAGATACCTACATGGTTATCTAATTAAATTTTTTTTTTAAATAAAGTTCATCAGAACCACATTAAATCTAATATCAATTAGAATATACGATTAGAATGCCTTCATATTATAGTCCATACGCACTGGCACAGTGCAGGCTGACGGTCGATCGAGTATTTGAATGTATATTTATGGTTTATTGTTCATGTCTTATTTAACTTCATTTTTATTTTGGATGCTAAGTATAATTTGTTAATCAAGCCACCAGAATAACAATTTTAGTTCATATTTTATGGATTTTTAAGTTTAGTAAGTGTTCAATATATATTGTGATTTTTTATAGGGCTATATAATATGTCCACCACCCTATAGAAATAAACTTTATGCAGCTGTATAATAATATTATTACGTAAAATGCGAATATTATCTTCCACTGCAAAATGTTGTTATGATTAATTATCGTTAATTTATATTTATTCAACCGCAAACGGACGATGAACAATAATATTGTGATACACACGTAAACACGCGCCCGTCAACAGGCTATAATAATAATAATACCTATATAATTGTGCTTTATTGGCAGTCATGGCCGTGTACATAAACATACAATATTATGGTTATAACTCGGGGAGGTCTACAACTGGCTGTTTTGCCCGGGTAGCTAATTTTGAAGGTTTTTTTTTTTAATTGTCATTGTTTTAGTCCTCTCATAACTTCTTTCACTTGGGTAGTTGGGTAGGTACCTATTCAGATATTAATTGTTAGGTACCATATTATTTATGATATTATTACTAAGGCACTAGGTACTAGGTAGCCAAAAAACTGAACATCGAAAATAATCTTACCACCGCCAAGTCCACTATCAAATATTATATTGTAATAATTATTAGTAAAAATTCCAAGCGCCCGAAGGGGGTCAAATTATCAAAAATGAATAAACCTTTTTTAGCTCAATATTAAAATCAAAAAATACAGTCCAAGGGGGCTGACCCCCCACCCCCGCCTTGTATCCAAATCTGAATCACAATCTAGGAAAATTACAATTTTAACACAACATTATGTTAACACTAAGCTAACATAATAATAAGTTCACATTATTATAAAAGTAGTTTCTTTTAAAACAAAATATTGGTACCTATACATATTTGGTGGTTATATTTTTGTTGCCCCTGGGCTGAAAGTTCCTTATTAAGCTTCGGTACCTACCGAGGTTTGTATATTATATTTATGCAGTTACGCACACAGGAAAATTGTTTTTTGGAGTTGGTTCACGGTGGTTGTGTGAATAACAGTTTTCCCCCAATTATATATATGTGCTATACGCCCGTACTTCGGTATAAGAGAAGACTGGCATTTTGTAGTAATACATTTTCATAAAGCAAAACATTTCTTTAGGACCCTTAACCCCCCCCCCCCGCACAATTAAAAAGCTGTCAGTTTTTTTCTTTTTGGGGAGGGGCTGATTTCACCAATAGATGACGGTCAAATGTAACGTGGATAAAGCTACAAATTACGTTTTTGGCATATGACGGTATTATCTCCGTCAATCCACCATGACCTTTATTTTTTTTTTTTGTATATTGTTTTGTATTTGCCGTTTGGTAATTAAAGTGTAGTGTTTTGCTTAGTATTATTCATTATTATTATCACTGTGTTCGTGTTGAGTAAAATTTGTATACTGGAAAATATCAACAGATGAAAACACAGTTTAACACGCCTACCGATACCTATTAAAATGTCATATTCAACTGCCCGAATACAGTCCGGAGTAACTGTTTATATATAAATTATAGTATTTAATGACATAAACACATAATAGTATTGTTCAAAAGTATTTAATACACGGATGTTATACACAATACAGAATTATCTTATTTACGTTGTGTATGTGCAGGATTTTATGTGTTAATTATGATATTTATACTTAGGGCTCGTATTACAATGGTCGATCTCTGGTTAAACCGCGGAATTCGGCCGGTAAAACGAGTGGGTTAAGCGTAATCGAAGTGTAATTGATTATTATATTAATACATTTTATTAGTGATCAAGTAATTTATTATAACATGCACCAGGGTACATGTACACCCAGTACGTGTTGGGTTATATTATTTTGTTTCAATCATACTTAGCCAACAGGATTTTATTTCCTCATTTGTTTGTAATATGTTCTGATTGATTTCCAGTTATTTTCCTGAACATATAAAATTGAACTAACAATTTAAATGAATAATTTAAATAAAATATGTATCACGTAATAGTACTTATTATATAATTATTATTATTATTATTATTTGTATGTTTGTAAAAATAGCGGATCATTTATTTATGCTGAAATATGTTAAAAATTGTATCATGTCATAGTGTCATAAATAAACAATATTGATATACCTATAGGTACCTAATACAATTATTATAGTGAACGACGTGAGTTCGTATAGTAAAAAAGAGGTGTATTTTCAATATTATATTTGAAAAAAATATAGGGAATATTAATGCTAGCAAATGACTTTCCTGAGGTACCTATACTACATATAATATGCATGCAAATCGATTTCTAATCTATAGACGAGTCTTATGGAAATTTCGTTTTAACCAAAAAATCGTTAACGCTTATACGAGGGAAAAAATGTTATTGGAAAACCAACAATATTTTGCATTTTGATTATGCTCCTTTATTTAAATGCAGAAATGTAATAGGTAACAGTAATTTTATTCATATGTACTGTTTAATTAATTTGATCAAATATAGTTTTATTGTGTGTGTATTATGCAATGGCACAAATATAAAGCAGTTTCATACCAATTTATAAACATTAAAACAATATTGGTGTACGTTATACCATATAATTATTAATTATTAATTAGTTATAATATGTACTTAGGTACACAAGATTCATGATTGCCGTGTTTTTGTTGGAAATCAGAATGTGTTCTTACATTCAACACGATTTATGCTATATTTTAAAGTTTAAACTTTGGTTAGTCATATTGAAATGTATTTATAGGTCTTATATAATATGCAGAGTTGCAGAATAATATATTTAGGTAGGTACCTAATATAAGTACAAGATAAGAAAGAATATGATAAGCGTTTGATAAGTCGGCTAGTAATTTGTATGATTCTTGATTATTTGATGTATTATGACGTGCTATCTGTGGAATAGGATATGTATTTTTTTAATACCATATCGATAAATCGATAGTAATATTATAATATCATATAGGTAATAACGTTCATTATTGTAATTAAATGTTAAAATAGTCGTTCAACAAAAAATCTAAGGTATGAAAAGATGGGCATGAACTAGTTATAAAATATATTTTTTTTTTAACTTTTCAACTTAACTATAGACTATAGTTGGTTCATTTTCTAATGAACTGTTGAAATAACTAATGTTTATCAGTTGCTTAAAAAGTAATCCATCAAGTTAAAATCAAAAATGTTATTGAAATAATATGTTTGGTTTTAATGATTTTATAGTTTATAAAGAAACATTAATTATCTATCGAATATACGTAATAGGTGCACAGTTCATTATTTTCATTAACTTTTCTACCTTTGCCTACATGGCTGTACATAATTGTATTGTATACAAATAAATAAAATAAAAGGTAGCTGGCAATACACACTTGACACTTGACACTTGTTGGTTGTTTGTATAGTTATGAAAGTTACGTAATAGTGTAATACTATATGGCACTATACGTACTCAGTACCTACACTGGCTACACTGTACATATGTATGAACGTAAATACAAAACAATAAAATATTAGATAAAAATATATATTTTATATATATATTTATTATTTATATAACACGTGCGTATGTATTTTGTTTGAAGTTATATATTTATATAAACATCTATATCGAGATACGAATATTCAATATAAATATGACCTGCTTTAGAGATGGTATAAAGCCATTATACCGTAAAATGATGTCGATTTCCAAGTAAACCTGTCCGCAGCAGAGATTCAATACAAGAAGATTGAAATGTGAAAACGGCAAAGCATGTTTGGCATTTGTTAGTGCCGGTAATATTATATTATTATTATTATTATTATTATTATTATTAATATAATTTAAAATATTGACATCAGAATTATTTAAATTACTCCGGCTAAGGTCTATAAATCGTGAAATTCCATAAAATAAAAAAATCTACAATCACCTAACATAATTATTAAGAAGATGCTACACAGACATCTGTTGTCTCCGTCTTACAAATTCGTAACAAATATTTTAAGGTTTAAATGTAAGATTATTATCTAGGTCATCTCATAGGCTTTTTGTTATATTTTTATTTTAATATGATTATTTTAAGATGTACAAACAATTCACAACTTTAAAATACTCATAACTCGCTTTAAAATAAAAATATAATTAAAGTCTATGAGATGCTCAAGATAATAATCTTACCTTTAAATTCTATAAGAGGTCAATAAATTGACTCAAATTTTTAAATGAACGGAGCTAAACGCGTATTCTGCCGAGCGTAAAATTTGCTATGTTA